CATTCTTTTTTCAAATTGAGGTTATAGTCACTCTATGATTTTGTTAAGGTATGTTTTACGGTCACTCAAAGCGAATATTTCAAGATTAGGTCATTAATCAAGTCAAGATTAGGCTATTCTCTGTACAAAGTATTTCATACGAACTGTTAAGCAATCGAAGTTTTAGTGGAACACATTAATAAAACTGTTCGAATTTAATTTAAAAACAAGAAAGGAAAGCTAACTTCGGGCGGAGCCGAAGTTGATATACCCTTGCAGTTAAAAGCGGATATATATCGCAAACATCGGATATAGTTTGCCAATCCTTATGAGAATATAATAATATAACCATATTTATTATAATACAAAGTTTAAAACAAGTCCCAAACTTCTATCTTTATCAATACCAAAGTTGATATATCTACCAAAAACCATTTCCGATCGTTCAGTTATATGGCAGCTATAAGATATAGTCGGCCGATCCTTATGAAATTTGACATGTTGTATTATTTTGTAGCCAAAAATAGCTCTCACCTAAAATTATAACTCTCTAACTTTAAAAATACCAAAGTTATACCATTTCCGATCAATCACTTATATGGCAGCTATAGGATATAGTCGGCCGATCCCGGTCGCTCCGACTTATATAATGCGTGCAAAGGAAAGAAGGGTGTGTGCAAAGTTTCAAGTCGATAGCCTTAAAACTGAGAGACTAGCTCGCGTAGAAACTGACAGACAGACGGACATGCTTATATCAACTCATGAGGTGATCCTGATCAAGAATATATATACATTATAGGGTCGGACATGTTTTCTTAACTGAGTTGCACATTTATGACCAAAATTATAATACCCTCTGCAATGGTATAATTAAAATAGTCAGTATACCTTTAAAAGTTTAGCAAGTGAGTTTGTGATAACTCGTGGCTCTCTATTGCTGAAATTGTATGTTTCCAATCTTGAAAATCAAGAACTGCGAATCGATAATTTGTTTTTGCGCCGATTTGAAAACTTTTATAACAAGAGCAGAATAAACAAATTTTTTTTATAGAGTAGACTAGCCATCGTCAATCGACACGTCCTCCGTTTGATAAAACGCAACAGTAGTGAAAATCGGAAAAATTACGATCCTCAACGTTTCGAGGATATTGGATATTTTTAACTTTGATTGGGCCTTTCTCAACAATAATGTTAATTTGCGAAATTGTCAAGTTTTCAGACCATTCTTCAGGGTCATTGAGATTTGTTTTAATGTTTGTCGAATGATTAATGCCATTATCTGACGATTTTTTTTGCTGGCGGGTCTGCAATATTTATAATAAAATATAAATTTACTTTTAACACAATCGTAGATGCACAAATTTATGGAAATAATACAGATATGCATAAACGATTAATTTCACGGGCCAAAATATAAGAATTACCATCAACATCCGATGAGTCTTTACTACGATCAAATACGTTTATTGGTCTCTGATTTCTTGAAGTTGTATTCAAACTTTCATGTATTTTTTTAGCTTCGGATGCAGAATCATAAGAAGTGTCCGAAATACCTTTATTTGCTCCGTCATGTGCAAGCATCTATAAAATTTTGTTTGGTCAAATTGAACGGTAAAAATTGTTACGGAAGTCGTTAATGGCAACAATATATATAATACGAAAAACGAACTCCTTTGTGTAGATAAATTGTTGTTTGTGTCCTGTGATAGCAAAGATTATAAAGTACATAGATGGGACATCTCATACAAAGAAAAATTTACTATGGCGGGTTCCAGCAGTGGAACCAAAGATGTTAAAATTAAAGATTTAACTTTAAACTTAAACTTTATATTTTGAAGATAGAAGCTTGGGACTTTGTTTTAGCTTTATTTCAATAAATTGGTTATATTTTGATATTCTCATGAGGATCGACCAACTATATCCGATGTTTCCGATTTTAACTGAAAGGGTATATTTTGCACGCAGTCGGAACGGCCAGGATCGGCCGACTATATCCTATAGCTGCCATATAACTGATTGATCGGAAATGGTATAACTTTGGTGTTTTTAGAGTTAGAGAGTTCAAATTTGACACGAGAGCTATTTTTGGCAATGCCAATTTTATAAGGATCGGCCGACTATATCTTATAGCTGCCATATAACTGAACGATAGAAAATGACCTAACTTTTGTGTTTTTAAAGATAGAAAGCTGGAACTTAGTACAGATTCTATTTTTGGTCAGTTGATCCAACTTACCAAATTTCATTAGGATCGGCCGACTATATCCTATAGGTGCCACATAACTGAACGATCGGAAAAAGTATTTAGTAGAAATATCAACTTTCGTATTTTTGAAAATAGAAGCTGGGACTTGTTTTAGATTTTATATTTTAGTTTATTGATTTTATTATGATATTCTCATAAGGATCGGCCAACTATATCCGATGTTTGCTATATATATCCGGTTTTAACTGCAAAAGTACTCGAAGTTTAACTTCGGCTCCGCCCGAAGCTAGCTTTCCTTTCTTGTTTTTTTTTTTTATTTTTATTTTCGTATGCTTTATTTCCTTCAAAATGTATACTTTTATTAAAGCTAATGTTATAAATTTTTGTTTTTACATAGTCTTAGCACGAAGCTATGCTTTTCAACTGAAATATTTTGACATATTTAATTTGTTTGTTATTTACAACATATATTATCTTCAATAAAAATAGGATACAAAAACCTTGATCTGGCACTTAATACTAATTTGGCTATTTTGACTAATTTTACTAAGAGAGTTTATTAGAGCTTTTATTAGAGCTTATTATTATTTATTAGAGCTTATTTATTTTTACTAGGAGAGTTTAGCATATATTGTTGTACCGTTTGGACTCCAGCTATTTCGTGCACGTTGATAGTGCTTGTATAATATGGTAGATTAATTAATAGTTTCAGAAGTTTATTTTGACAAGTTTGTATTTTTTAATATGTGTATGTGTGTATAAAGTATATATATTCTTGATCAGAATCACCTTTAGAGTTGATGTCCGTCTGTCTGTCCGTATGACTGCCGGCCGTCTCTCTGTCTGTTTCTACGCGAACTAGTCTCTCAGTTTTCAAGCCGATAAAACTTTGCACACAGCTTTTGTTCCTTTGACGCAGTTTAGTCGGAAGGGTATCAGGGTATATACCCTCTGCAAGGGTATAAAAAGTGTGTTATATTTATCAATGCTGCAGCTGAAGGAAAGTCCATCGATAAGGCGCGCCTTGTGGGGGATAAGCGAAGTGAACTATCTGATGGCTTTTCTTGGCGCATTCTGTTATGTGCAGCTGCGAATTCTTTAAAACTGTCATTTATTCTCCCAATTGCAAAATTGGGAGACGTCGCCCAATTCTCGAATTTTTTCAAAAGCCTTTGCAGAGTTTCCTTTGCTTTATACACACAATTTTTTTTTAACAAAATGGCCGTGTTATTCGCGTAGGTGTTAACACACATTGATGTGACTGCTAAGAAGCATCGTGAGTTAAGAGCGTGAACCAGATGTGTCCAAGGACGCTTCCTTGGGGAACTCCTGCAATTACCTTTGACGTGGAGGTAGCTGCCGCTAAGTTTAAACAGCTGATAGTGGAGAAGCCTTTAAGCTTATACAGGAGCCTCTTTAGCCAAACCCTGTCAAAGGCCTGTTTTTAGATGTCTGGAAATGCTGCCACCACGTACTCTTTCCGTTGGATGGAATTGTGAAGGGGTCCAGTGTCTTCCTCTAAAACCAAATTCGAAAGATTGGAAAGCAAGTGAGCCAGGATGCTTCTATCTTAGATCTTGCCAAAAGTTTGTAGTTGACGGATTGGACCATAGCTGTTGAGGTTTGGTGGCGGCTTGCCCTTTCTGTGAATCATGGAGACATTGGCCTTTTTCCACGGCTTTAGGAAATGCGCAAGCTTAAAAGCAGCATCGAACAGCAGAACCAGGAACAAGATTGGACGAAGAAGAAGCATCTTTACGGTTAGTTATTCCGTCAGGACCAGGGGCATTTCTATTTTTTAGCTTCTTCATGATGTTCACAGTTTCTGTAAGTGTAACAGGACGAAGGGGTAATGAATGCTGTAAGGGAGCGTCTTTACCAACTCACATCTTCTCCTTGAAGCAGTCTGGAAGGGTTTGAAGCATTCTTCAAGATCCTAAGCAAAGGCCTCTGCCCAATCCTGGGGTGTGCGCGCCCATGAGCCGTCTGCTCTCTTGATTGGAAACTTGGGTGCAGCCTGTCATTTATATCGACCTGTTAACTTCCACAGGGCAAAATGCGTGTCTTTATTGGAAGTTCCTTCTTCTAGCTCATTGTCAATGCAACCTTGCCTGAATAGCGTCAACATGATTCGCACTCTGTTGGCAAGCTTACGATGGATTCTGCCAAGGTTTCTATCCAACGTGCATATATATTCATATCTGATATTTTGCTTCAGATCTATTCATCTTTAATCTTGATTTGGTTGGACGTATTATTTTACCATTAAAAGAATCCATGGGAAATCCCAACTTTCTAAATATACCATTTCCGACCAATCAGGCATATGGCAGCTAAAGGATATAGTTCTGACTTATATAATGCGTGCTAAGGAAAGAAGTGCGTGTTGAAAGTTTCAAGTCGTTGGCTTTAAAACTGAGAGACTAGTTTGCGTAGAAACAGACAAACGGACAGACAGACGGACAAACGGAAATTCTCATATCAACTCAGGAGGCGATCCTGATCAAGAATATATATAGTTTATAGGGTGACATGCCTCCTTCACGGCGTTGCACACTTTTAGACAGAATTATAATACCCTCTTCAAGTGTATAAAAATATATATTTATTTTATATATATATACATATATATATATAAATATATATATATTTATATATAATATATAATTTTACTATATTTGTGAAAGGTGAAGGTAAAGGTTTACTCACAGTTTATGACTTTTTCAAATAAAAATTAAAAAAACTATATTCCTATTTGTTTCCTATTAATCGTGTTAAACAATTTTCAACAAATGTTATTTTGTTTTTCTTTTAGGACGTGAGCTGGCTACATTACATCATATCTGCGTTTCCCACTTACAAGAGCTACAGGAACTATCAAATATACTTTCAATCAAAAAACTCGTTACAGTCACAGACATGTTGTCCAAACATAAAATAAAGTATCGCGAGATGATCAGCTAAAAATAATGTATTAGAAAAAAAAAAACTATTGAATGTCATTAGTATTAAATGTACGATTTTATTTTCAAAACAATATTCAAACAATTTGAGCATGAAACAATAGCTTGAGTTTGATTTGATTTTTTATTCTACTGGTTAAAACTAATTATGTATTGTGTTGGAATTAGCAGAAATATTTAGTTTCATAATTATGTATATATGAGCTTAACATTAAGCTAAACATACAAATTTTGTATCCATTTTAATAATTCGCTTTTGTGCTCTCTAAGCTGCGCTTCTTTATTGTCTCTCTTTGGAGATACACGGGGAGCTTGTAGTTGATAAGCTCTACAATAATTGTCATGTGCATAGCTCTCTGTACTTGTGTGAGCCGGAGGCGTTATCGGTCGTGCCAGAATAGAATGCATTCGTGGTTTTCTCTTGGCCTATGATTGACTTGGGATTGATTTTGGAGTATAAGTTTAAGTTTGACCTCCGAATAATTTTTCTGTCCGTAAATTGTTTTGATTTGTAGTCAGATTTTGCCTGAAAATAAACCTTGAAAAAATATTGAACTTTTCAAAATGGCTAAGCTTTCCACTCGTTTGGATGTAAATTCGCTGCTTAAGATGCTAGTGCATCATCTTTTGTGCTTTCTTAGCTCTCGCCATTGCAAAGAATGGCCCCGAACAACCGTGTGGCTTTGGTTTTGTCGAGCAACAGGTTCAAAAATAGATGATTTTGCAGACCCATGTAAATGAGATTATCTCCCTATGGGAAGTTCCGTTGGAATCTTCCATGGTTTTTCGAACAAGTTTAATAGCATTTTAGTGTTTGGGATTTCCTGAAAAAAAAGAGTGATTTCTGGCACAGGTTTACGTGGGAAACCCTTTAAACGGTGTATGATTGTTATGTTGCTTGAGGCCGCCCCACTGACTAACACTTGACTGCTAAGCTAGCACTGAGTTGTGTAGCTTACTCTGTGCCTATATTGACATTTCTATTTCTGAAAGTCATAGGCCTAGACAGATTTTAGTACGTAGTTGCACAGCAGGCCTTGTAGACAAGACTTAAGTAAGTGACAAGGAGTAAGACAAGGATAGTAAGTGCATTGATGAGCCAATAAAAGCAATTGGCTTTTATTTTTGACTTTATTTTGTCCCATTTAAATATGATCTATTTTTCAAGAAGAAGTCAAGAAGTAACAAGAAGTCCTTCTCTAAACAATCAGAAATAGAAAAAAATTATCAGATTATTAGGATTATTTCTGGGGATAAATACACTTTCAGTCAGATTTCGCTGCAATTGCAAAAATGCCTGTTTTGAGTGCTAAAGTGTGCTTTTTGCTAAAATCAGTAATAAATCATCTTTTTTAATTGTGAAATATTTTAATTGATCCATAAGAAATGTTGAATTTGTGATTAAACTGTGTTAAAAAAATACATTCTGTCGACTTAATTGGTAACACAAAATGCGAAATTTTTTTTTTGTTGGTTTCAAGTGATATTTTAAAAAGTTTATTAATATAAACGGGCTTTATAAAATTGTTTTTTAATCGGAAAGAGAATTAACCTATTGAGTGCGGTAAGAAAAACAGAAACGCCGTTGAAACTCATTCCTTCTTAGTGCTCGAATATTAAACGGGCGGAGCCGAAATTGATCTACCCTTGCGGTGAAAACCGGATATATATCACAGACATCGGATATAGTATAGGTCGACCCTTATGAGAATATCATAATATAATCAATTTATTACAATAAAATATGTAAAAAAAAGTCCCAAGCTTCTATCTTCAAAAATACCAAAGCTGGTATTTGTACCAAACACCATTTCCGATCGTTCAGTTATATGGAAGCTATAAAATATAGTCGGCCGATCGTTATGAAATTTGGCAGGTCGGATCAACTGACCAAAAATCTACAATCTGTAGAATCTGTACAAAATTCCAACTTTCTATCATCTGAAATACGAAAGTTGTGTCATTTCCTATCAATCAGTTATAAGGCAGCTAACGGATATAATCGGCCGATCCCGGCCGTTCCGACTTTATACTGCGTGCAAATGAAAGAAGGGTGTGTGCAATGTTTCAATGCTTGCGTAGAAACAGACTTAGGAGTTGATCCTGATCAAGAATATATATTTTATAGGGCCGGAGATGTCTCCTTCACTGCGTTGCAGACTATTGGACAAAATTATAACACCCTCTGTAAGGATATAAATATCCATTTACGAAATATTCTACATAAATTAAGAATCGATGCTTGATTGATGTTGGATAAAGCAGCCTGCGGAATATCCGCCGTCGCACATAGGAGTATTTATCAAAAAAACCGGACAAATTTGAAAATCGTGAAGTGCTTTTAAGCTCATCAAAACGGCACTTTTCCTTATCTCTAATAACCGCCTCTTCTATAAACAGACCCCCCTTTTGCCACAGTCCACTTACTTGGTGACAACGGTGTTCGCAAGTACGTTATTGTGCTTTTTGCGTGTCTTTGTTTTTGGTGCTTTAAAATATTCGCAGTAGTTTTGTGATCAAAAATAAATTCGTCTAGCGGACAAGTGGAAAAAAACGACTTGATCATGGAATTAGAAAGTAAGTACTGTATAAAAATCATTTTATAATTTATTTCTTCATTATATTTTGATTTATTCATTCAATTTTAGAAAATGCATTTTTCATCAATTTTTTTTTATTAAATTTACAATATATTAGTGATTTTGTTTATGTGTCGCGCCTTGTCGCCTGGAACTTTTTATACAGGAATAAAATTTATCTCTGTCGATAACTTAAAAGAAAAAAACATTTCCCCCCAACGCACCCCATTTTATTTTTTAGCGTTTCAAAGTATGCGATCATAATTTTCATTAAATCGGCAATGTACAGTGTTTGGTTTCTATTATTTCAGATGCTTCAGAAAGTGTGAAAAAAATCACCAGAATGGAGCTATACTCTATTTTGCAAGAATCCAAAGGGAAAAAATTAAGTGATAAATTTATATTTTTGGAAGATAAGCTGGTAAAACTGACATCATGCCCACCCGAAAAAAGATGTAATCTTAGGCGTCTCATAAAATATTTCAAGACCAGTTTTAAAGAAAAATGGAGTGCTGCCCGTCATACACATGAACGATTTGTAAAAAATAACAAAGAGTGGCTGAACGTTATATTGGAACTTCCAGCTTTTACCCATAAAGCAGGACGCCCAGTGAAACAATTCAGTGAATTAACTGATCGAAGCAAGCGGCGTAGAACAAAAGAATTACGGGCCCAAGTACCTGTTGATGAATTAACGTACGCTGCCAGTGTAAGCCAAGGAACTTCTGGAAACAGCGACGTTTCTAAAATTATAAAAGAAATTACAACATCTCCAAATAGAGCTAAAAAGTTTCGAAAAGTAGTTGGGTCAGCTGAAAAGGAACAAATTGTGCGGAAATACACTCCACAAGAAGCACTAGCACTATTTGTAGATGGCAATTTTACAAGAAGGCCATGGGAATTAATACAAGGCGGTCGCAAAGAAATTTACAATTGCTATTCACTCATCCAAAAAGCGAAAAAGGAGTGTTATCCAGCCGAAGAATTCGTAAAAGTGACAGAAACTAGTTTTGAAGTGGGACTTCAATCTTTGCTGGACCACACGGTTTTGCGACTGATTAAATATTTAAAGGATGCGAATAATACTTTATCTGAATATGATAAGCAACATCTTATTCTAATAACAAAATGGGGCTGCGATGGATCGCATCAGACCCAATTCAAACAAAAATTTAGCGACACTGAGAATGATGATGGCAATTTATTTTTAAGCTCTTTAGTGCCTGTGAGATTGATTGTGTCAGTTAATGGAGAGATGAAAAAAATCGTATGGCAGAATCCAGTGCCTTCTTCAGTAAGATTCTGTCGACCTATTCGGGCCCGATTCGTGCACGAAACCAAGGATGTAACAAGTGAAAAAGTCGAGTTCATTGAAAAACAGTCAAAAAACCTTAAAGAAACTGTTCTTGAAGATTCTTTTAAAATAACCCATACTATGTTGCTTACAATGGTTGATGGAAAGGTATGCAATGCTCTGACAGATACAACATCAACCATGAGATGCTATATATGTGGGCAGACTTCCAAAAATTTTAATAAATTAAAAAAAGGAAACGTTTCTTGGACTCTCTGTCTTGCACGCGAGAATTCGACTTTTTGAATTACTTTTGCACTTGGCATATAAAATACCCCTACAGAAGTGGCAAGCTCGGACGCTTGAAGAAAAGAAAGTGTTGAAAGAAACAAAAGAAAATATTCAAAAAAGGTTCAGAGTAGAGCTAGGCCTTCTTGTTGACATACCCCAAGCTGGCTATGGCAACAGTAATGACGGCAACACATCCAGAAGGTTTTTCGAAAACCCAGAATGCTCTTCACGCACAACAGGACTCAGTGTAGATTTAATAAAGATGTTTCAAGTTATCCTTGAGATTGTATCATGTGGATACGAGATCGATCCGAAAAAATTTGATACTTATGCACAAAAGACTGCTCGATTGTACGTTGATCTGTATGGTTGGCATCCAATGTCCCCTACAGTTCACAAGATCTTAATGCATGGAGCTCAAATAATATCAGAAGCCATTGTACCGATCGGACAGCTATCAGAGGAAGCCGCTGAAGCACGAAATAAACATTTTAGGAAATATCGTGTGGACTATGCCAGGAAATTTTCTAGAGTAGACTGCAACAGAGATATATTAAATAGGTTATTGCTAACATCGGACCCGTTGATCAGTTGCAGTACAAAGAATAACAAGAAGAAAAGCAGACCTCTTTCCAAGGAGGCAATGTCTATTTTAATGGAAAGGTCCACGAATTATTATAGCACCGACTCTGATCAGGATAATGATTCTGATTGACTGAATTTCATAAAAATTTCTTTTCTTAAAATTTTTATTTTTTTTCTTCAAAATTTTCCTTTTTTTTTTTTGTGTCTGAAATTATGAGTTAGTATAAGACATTATAAGTTAGTAAAAAATAAACAAATGCTAATAAATAATTTTGTCCGGATTTTTATTTCAAATACTCCTATGTGCGTCGGCAATAATATATTAACTTTTTCGTCGAGCCGCGCCCAAATCCA